ACAGTCTACTAATACTCTAATGACTGCTAGTTGACATGTAGTCGCAGAGTTACTTATCGACAGTTGTCCAAATGCTACCATCAAAATAATCACATTGATATTACAATAAAAATTGTCCAAAGCAAACGTGTACACATTCATCTGATCTGATATCAGATCTTATGGCTGTTTGAGAAAAAATATTATTATTATTATTTATAAGTGGTCTTTGTCTGCTTTAAGTACAGTGAAGTTACTTCACTTAAAGCAGACAAAGAGCACTTAATAATAATAAGACCACATTAAAGCATTTTGGAATGTTTTCATGAAGACTTTGTATTTGTTATTTTACAGTAAAAACACAAATAAGATGTACTAAGTTACTGTGCAGATCTTAAACATTGGCAAGATATGAGACCTATAATCCATTATAACTATGAGAAATATATTCCATTGTAATTTAAGTGGATGCAATGTGTTCATTGTGTGTTATAAATCATCATACACTTAACCACAAATAAGTATTATAATACATTAAAACTGTTCTTACGATTATTTATAAGATGATGCAACATATTATAAGGTTTCTTATAATGCATTATTCATTCCTTATAATGCTTTAAGAATAACCTTATAATGTATTATAAATACAGGCTTCATAGAAAGTGTTACCGTCAATCCTTCTATTAAAATCTTCCACTTCACTGAAATAGTTATCAGAGAACAATCACTGTTGGGTTAACAGAAATATCAGTAACAAAAGGTGCACTGGGCATTGTGCAAAAATAATGAATATTCTACTCTGACCTGTAATGATAATCCGGACCAGAAAGGAAGACCTGCTCAGCCTCCTGCAATGAGAAATTCCGTAGGACAGCCAGGGCATATATGACGGCCTGTGAAAAACAGTTAATTTAAGTATCCTATTTTAGCACTACTGAACAGCAAGCCATTATACATGGGTCCATACACGAGTAGCACCAGCATGCAGTTTATTTTTTTGTAATGATGATTAAATGTGAACATTGTTTGTTTAAGTACCACTAAACGCTCCTCAGATCCCTGTAACTTTACAATGAGGTCCAGCAGTCTCTTTACCTCTGCAGTGTAGTCATCGGCAGCCTGAATGTGGATTTCCTCAGAGATAGCACTCTGTAAACTGGCTGAAGAGCTCCTTGGAGCAGGATTCTGGCCTCATCAGTCCAGAAGGCAAACCTCTGACCATGCCTTTCAAACATCAACCAGATTCATCTAAAGTACTGTCAAAAGGACAGGCTAATAACACATATTGTGGTGCAACCAAGCAATGAGCCCAGTTTAATTATGAAAGATGATTTATACTTAACTAATATGCTAAAACAATGAGCATCAAACAAGTTTTCACACTAATACAGTAAGCTACAGGTAAATCTGACACATCTCACATCAAGCTTTTATCATCTTTTTAAGTTTAATTAACGTGCTGGCTAGATTTACTTATTGTAGTCATTATGTCAACAAGGTTTAGCTTGGCCACGAATTGAGAACATCGTAATAATCAATAAAACTAGCAATCGGGAATTCATTATTATTTCTTAGCAATTCTCACGTTGGCTACGTAAACTTTGCATCGTTTTAAGGTTATAAAATAAAACTTAATTGAAAATCGGTAAAGTTACTCACTCTGATTGCTGTCCATGTCGTCCATCTTTAGTGATCCAATTCGGCAGGTGGCGCTGTTACAAAAGTATAGGTCCTAGAACTGCGGTCCTGAAACTGCAGCCTCCGGTTGTGAAGGAACTATCGAGTTTCAAGTCTCGCCCCGTTCACACTAGCAGCTGCATGTCGCCAGGGTCTGGCGATGAGGTTGCTAGTGGGCGTTGTCAATACTGGTTGCTTTGACAGCGAATCAGGTTTCTTGCCGCTAAGTACAAACATTTTGGAGGCAAAAGACTAAATATAATCTAAATCTAAATTAAATCCGTACATACAAACAAAAATGAATGAGAAACAGAGCCTACTTTCTTCCATTACGTATGTTTATCTACGGCGCTGAGCGGAGAACGATCACATGAGCTCTACCGTCTTCTTTCCTATTGGCTGTCGCTCCCGAAAGTCGCTCTTCATTTGCATAATGTTGAAGGATTCTGAACTTTGTCGCGTCGCTGGGCACGCCCCATCCGGTCGCCAACGGTCGCTGTCGCTTGCTGTCGCTTGCTGTCGCTTGCTATCGCTCGTGTCGCCGGAAATCGCCAGCTCTCCATTGAAATGAATGGGATTGTGTCGCTTTGCTGTTGTGTGTCGCTTGTAGTGTGAACACCAAGATTAGGTAATCTAATCGTCTCTGGTATTAATTTTACAGAGCAGAGCTGTAATAATAAGGTTGTAAGAACATTAGTAAATACACAGACTTTCCCTTCTAAAGTAAAGAAAAGACTCCTTGTCTATGATTTTCCTGAAGATAAAGTGGTTCAAATTAGAACAAGATTTCTCTCTTTTCCACTTCTACCAAAGGTAAAAGAAGTTCAGTTTAAAATGATAAACGATATTTATCCCTGTAATGAGTTCTTCAGACACAGGTTTAATTTGGATTGTAATGGATGCACCTTTTGTGAAGCAGAAATAGAGTCATTGGAACATTTGTTTTATTTATGCAAATTCTCAAAAAAATTATGGGATGACCTATGCTTGGTTAAATTTGAATTATGTAATACCTGACTTTGATTTTAAAACTGTAAAATATTTGTCCTTTTGTCGGAATTGTGATGTTGAATTTTTGGTTAATAATATTGTGATTTTGGCCAATTACTTCATTCATAAATGCAGATTCTTTAATAACCCCCCCCCACACACCCACACACTTTATTACTTTTCCAGAAAGATTTAATGGTCTTCTTCAAATCTTTAAAGCTCATGCGTCATAAAAAAGACCTTAAACTATGTAATCTTTTGAAGGTATTTTTTTGATGATTAAGCCCCTTGCATTGTAGGTTTTTTTTCCCCTGTATTTATTTGTTTTTCTTTCTTACTTTTCCTGTTATGTTTATTTTGTTTATCCATGTATTTTTTGTTATGCTGCTATTTGGACTTCTTTGAATTGTATTAAGATTTTTCTTACTGTTATTTGTTTGGTATTTATGTTCTTCAAGCTATAAAAAAAAAAGCTTGTAGTGTGAACGGGGCTTCACGGTTTGGTCTGCAGTATTGGTTGGAGATCGCTGATCCGTGACCATTCTATCAATTACAATAGGGTTTCAGAGCTACGCGCTTGAACCCACTGTTGCCAACTAATTTTCAGGGGAAATTGCTAAGGAAGGTTGATTTGTTGCTAAATGGCGTTGTGACGTCATTGCGCGGTGACGTCATTGCGCGATGACGTCATTATGTAATCATGACGCAAAATTGTCACTACATCTAATCTTAGCAAAAATGTATATTTGTTTATAAAATAATATACATGCATAATATAATATTAAAATATAAATAAATAAATAAACATTGAATTGAGTACTTACCCTACACATTTTTGTACGATTACAATTTAAGTTTATTATTATTAGCTTGTAAACTAGTAAAACTATACATTCTAAACAATTACAGTTTTAAGCAGTGTATTGGTAGTTACTTAGTATGCTACAATCTAAAAGTCTGTAAAAAAAAAATAGGGCACAATCTACTATGTTAATATAGAGGAATTTTCGAAATTGATTATTTACAGGTATTTTCTCTGCTATTTAAATTATGCATTGTATTTAGTGTTTTCAGGTTACAACTTACAACGGATAATGGACAATGTCCTGGAAAATTACAAAATTTTAAATTTTTCTAGTTTTTTTTTTATTTTTTACAGTGTACCAACAATCACAGGTACAAGCTACTAACAAGGTGTCATAAATGAACAATTATTCAATTATTCAGTTGTTGTTGTTATTATTATTAAATTGAACAACTGCAAATAGCAGCTTAATTCATGTGATATGTGTACTGCTAGTCATCTTTGTTTACTCTTTTTGTGTAATTTAGATGAAAAACTCTGTCCCTTTTATTGTTAAAAGTCACTTATCAAAAGTTGCTAAAAGTTGCCAAATAAATGTTAAAAATAGCAAAATTTCTTGCTAGGTGCTTTGGGAAGAAAATGTTGCTAGGGTAGTATGAAAAGTTGCTAAATCTAGCAACAAAATTGCTAAATTGGCAACACTGCTTGAACCCCTAATAACACTCACAGACATTGAGAGACAGGCGCTCCCACCCGTCCTAGAAATTAAAGAGCGAAGGTGAATGCGCATGCGCGGTTAGGAGGAAACGGCTGAGGTTCATTTCATGCTATGTGTGGTCGACTTCGTACCGATCAGAGGGAGAGAGCGAGGGACAGAGAGTAAGGAAAAGGGAGTTTAGGATTAACGCTTTGGGTCAGCCAACTGAACGTGTTGCTTAAACTGCAAGAGGAGAACACGAAACGTCTGTAATGACAGCAGAGTCAAGTGAATTAAGTGAATAAACACAAGCGGCATTGCGCGGCTGATAGCAAGAGAGGCAGATAGATCCGAGAAGAGAAGAGAGGAAAAAGGGATATCCAGTCGGACTAACTAGTTGGGTTGCCCCGAAAGCGTGGACAAGGCTGTAAACCAGGTAAATAGCTCCTTAAACCATTCAAACAGCGGGCGTTATCCCGCGTAGCAACAACCTCCTCCCTCGAGATTGCCCTTTATCTGTTTCACGGTTTTTGTCACCTTAACAAAGCAAACAGTAAGACTAAGATGCAGCATCTGTTGTAAATTGCGATGAATGTATCCGCAGGACATTTGCACTTAATCGTTTCCGTGAGTAATGAATGACTACAAAATCTTTGGGCGTTTTGGTGCAAAAACTAAAAACAATTTAAAGGCGCGTCAAAGTTGCTACGCGGCAAGAAGACGAGATCAAAAAACTTGATCATAACTCGAGACGGCACGAGTCCACGCTGCGCCTCGCATCGTGGATTAGCTCAGCCTTTCAACATAGGAAACCTCGTTTTAACCGCACAGGGGTTTGTTCTGCATTCTAGTTAGATTGTGGGTCTGGTTCATGCGCTGTCATGTGCAGTTCAACGGTAACATACTTGCACCTGCTTGCCTGCGATTAGCGCGCTGCTAGGCGGGCCTTCGGTTTCTGATCAGTGCGCAGTGGCGGATCCAGCAGGCCTCACAGATAGCAGCCAGCTCACTGCGGCTGGAGGACACGCGTGTCCTTATGAAAGCGGCTCAGACTCTCATTGTTCAAACATATGGTTCTTATTTCCCGTAAAATGTGTCATTATTGAACTGTGCGATAGCGGCGAGTTGTGTGGATTATCTCAGCTACATGTGCAACTCACTATAGACCCTGCGATGCGCAGTGATTTATTCATATGATGTTATCTATTTCAAAAGTGGAATTCGGATGTTTTAGCATTTTGAATGTGGATTGAAATATCTTCAAGTATCGATATGTGCGTGATCATATCTCACTTGGGGCCCTTCCCATGTGAATACTTGCAGACCACAATTGCGCACAGTACACTGAATAATGTAAAGCTACTCAAATGTTGTGTTTTCTAGCCGTTTAATTACGATTATGTAATTGTTGACAATTATTATTTAAGGGTAATTACACATTTACAATAGCTAAACATGTCACAAGTTCAGTTCACAGGTGCCATGCTCTTGTTGCCTTATATAGCTTCTGCAAAACCAGGAAAACCAGGGAGGCATGAGACTACAATTAATGAATGGCAGCGCTGGGTTTTAAGGATTAAAATTGCACGTGATTTTAATTTCTTGAAGGATGAGAAAGGAAATTTGTTTCAGGTAATGAACAAGTCGTTACATTTTGATGAATGGTTTATACTGGTCTGTTTGTTTATTTAAAGAATGGCAATATTGTTAACCACTGTTTCTTGTGGCTCATCAAACCTTAGATAAAACATGGCGGATGCTGACCTGGACTTCACAACAGGCGATGCTGGTGCCTCTGCTACCTACCCCATGCAATGCTCTGCCCTGCGCAAAAATGGTTTTGTGGTGCTAAAAGGTCGACCATGCAAGATTGTGGAAATGTCCACATCTAAGACTGGCAAACATGGACATGCCAAGGTGAGTGATGGTCTGTAACAAAGTAGAAAATTATAGCAGTTGACAACTTAGCTAGACTAGTCCACGTCATTTTCATTAACCTTGAATTCAGTAACGCTGATTTTAATAGATGCATAAATCTGTTAGATGAGTACATCAGAGCAAAACACATTTTATTTAGCAGTCATAGTATTTATGTTAACTGTCGAAATACATGGATTATGCATGGATGAATGTTTGTTTTGCAAAATAAAGGAGTTACAGAAGTCTCTCTATACAAGGTTTTATAAATGATGTGCATGGGCATGTGAAAGGGGGGCCATTCATTCACACAGTGTGAGGGATGATGCGGTTGAAATGAAGTGAGCTGATTTTGAATAGCAGCAAAGTAAACCTCATGCTTCCCTTTATTTTGTTTAAAGGTTCACATGGTGGGCATTGACATCTTCTCTGGCAAAAAGTATGAGGATATCTGTCCCTCAACCCACAATATGGATGTCCCTAACATCAAAAGAATGGACTACCAGGTATGTTATTGGGAATATTAGACACCGATATACTGTAAGTAAATCATAGTGTTTCACAAATTTCTTTTTTCCCCCCACTCTTTAGCTTATTGGCATACAGGATGGCTACCTGTCTCTGCTCCAGGACAGCGGTGAGGTCAGAGAAGACCTAAAAATGCCAGAAGGAGACCTGGGCAAAGAGATAGAAAGCAAGTTTGATGCCGGTGAGGAAATCCTGGTAAGTGCCATTAAATCAGCCACCTTTCAAATGTCACTGAGCAAACGTTAATAGTGTAACCTCTTCATGTTACTTTGCAGATCACTGTCCTGTCTGCTATGAATGAGGAGGCTGCAGTAGCTATCAAAGCCATGGCTAAATAAAACACAGCAGGTATATGGAGCTCTTACAGCTGTGTGCACATACTCACCTGCTAACTAGGCCCGGAGCGACTGTGCCTGTGCTTGCAGCAAAGCACTTATTCAAATGTTTACTTTTACTTTACACAATGAAACAGACCTTGTAATAATAATATTATTATTATTATTATGATTGTCATCTTTGTCTAGATGCAATCAATAATCAGTCCAGGATGTTTAATAATGTATATAAAAGGGTTTTAAACAAGGTTTTATAATGGAAGCCCACTTTACATAGAATACTTTGCTGTTTGCACACAGGTACTTTTGTGTAACACAGATGTAGGACTTCTGCAGTGTTTGATGTATCTGGTATGTAAAAGCAGTGACTAAGATGTAAATAGAATTTTCGGATTTCATTTTGTATTTTACTCTACCGGCTAAACGCGCTGTATTGTAAAAACTTTTTAAGAAGCACTATAAACAATTATGATACGTGTTAAAATTACTCATATCTGATGTTCCTCTGAGTTCATGGGAGATTCATTAAGTGATTGCGTAGTGGCTTATTGTGCACTTTGACTTTGGGCTTCAAAATGAATGGCAGATATCCAAGCAATTATTTCAGACTCTGTTTAGTAATGGAGAACCCAATTATTTCTGTAGACCGCCTGTCTACATTTATATAGAACCTTTGTTTTGGACAGTCATATATTTTTGATTGAAGATTTTTACAAGCTTCCTCCTACTATTTGTGTGTTGTGGATATGGACTTAACTTTAGCTTCATCTTTTTTTATTTCTACTTCCTTGCTTATGTTACTTTCATCACCCCTTCTTCACTCACTCCTGCCTGTACTTCTTTCTTCCTTTCAGGGGTTGACAAGATGCATTGGACCTGGATATGAGCGAATTAGACCTCAGCAATGCTATTCTCCCTCCTTTTTTCTTTCTCATTCTTTATTTCTCTCTCTCTTTCTTTTTTTTAATAGCCCATGTGTGAGTTTAAAAACTAGAAAATAAATGTAATCAGAATGTTCCAAACAAAATAACATTTTTCAAAAACAAAAGTTACATAAGAAATGGATGTTATGAGTGGACAGAAGTACCATAGTGATGGACGGCTGGGGTGGGAAAAGGTTTTATTTGTATTTATTTATTTATTGTTGGGTCGGGGAGGGGATGGGACATCATAACTGTCTTTACTAGCATGAGTGTCTGTTTTAATTTTAAGATAACTACCCCTCATATGTTCTTTGCTAACTTAAATCACAATGGTAAATAGCTATAAGAGGTCTGTTATGTGGTTAATTTTATTTATGAGCAATTATAGTGCAAAGGGAGGGTAAAAAAACTCCAGTGCAGAATCTCCTGTAAATGACCGATACAAAGGCAATGACGCGAGTTATAGGATGCAGTTTTGTGTCTTCACTACAGGACCAAGTGCTCTGCTTAACTTCCCTTTTATCTTCCAGTAGCTTAAAGCAAAATACCCTTGGCAGGGGGTGACAATATCACACAACTTGGTGTATATAGATGGATGATGCAGTAAGACTTTGGATCACTTTTTGCTCCTCCCCCTCTCTCCCCACACTCCCTCTCCCCTGATAAGACTGATAACACAGGGAAAGCCAGCATCACCATTTTATCAAAATTTCCCAAGTTTTGGCTGTTTGAGTATGTTCTGAAGTGGAAGGAGGTTTCATTAGCCTTATCTTTAGTAGAAATAAACAGACACATACTTCTGCCTATAATGTACTCAGTCTCGACCTGTAGTGCTTTGCTTAATGCTTGCTGTTCATGTTTGAAGGACAAACAATCAAGTACCCCAATTCCTGTCTTTTAAATTTGAGGGTTTGATGACATTTTGAAAAAATGGTACTTCTCCCCTTTAAAATCAGTCATATCCTATGCAGGCCTGATTTGACAGTCATGCACATTACCCTTGACTTGACTACAGTAAGTTAAGTTTTTTTGTTTGTTCCAATACTGTGATTAAGACAAAAATAAATACAAATTTGGTTTCTAACAAGACAACCCAATATTAAAAAGAGCACATATAAATCATGTCTTTATTTCTGTTTCTGATGCATTCTGGTGTTGTAATATATTGACCATATTGGCTGCTGTTGGCAAACTCCAAGAAAAAGGCATTAAAAGACAAACTTAACTGTTGTTTGGTAAAGTATTTATGTAATGTGGGAGGATCTCATTTGCATTATTAACACTTTAAACTTTAAGTTAAAATACACAGACAGTGATTTGTTGTTCAACCTTTGGCTCTTGAGTTTTATGTCAATCCTCTGACATACAGTAGCACCTGTTTTTTTTTTTTTATTATTAACCATCAGAAAACCATGACATCTTTTCTTAGATTCATCAAGTGTAAGACAATTCCTTATTATTTATTATCAACAATGTTTATAAACCAGCAATATTTGCTGCATGGGTCATTTATTACAATGTTAGAAAAACAAATTCAAAAGAAGTGGCTTTCAGCTCTCTTAAGGTGAGCCTCAGAAAAGAGTTTTCTGTAGCCTGGTACCTTGTAAATATTATACTTTTAGAAGCTAATGAGGTTTTCCATGGTGAAAGAATCTCTGTCCAGTGTGAGGGAGGAAAGCATGCCGTGATGCTGGTTGAGATGAATTCTGGAATGGAGCCTGAAACATAAATAAATTAAGTTAATCTATCTGTCATGAATAAAATAAAAGAAAGCTTTAACCCCACCAAATCTACCATTTTTTAATTAACCAATAACATCTTTAATACTGAAAAAAGAAGAGGTGTAGATTAAAGGTTCAAATGAAAATGATACAATTGTTTAAAAAAGTATTTTTTAAATTAAAAACAGAAATGTTTAAAGTAGCAACTAACAATGTACAGGCACTCAGATCTCTGGGGGGGGGTTCCCACTTTTTCTGGCTTTCCTTTGCTTTCCTTTGCTTTTAAATAGCTTGTAAACGTGGCGTGCGCATTAGGGGTGCTTCAATCAGGATTTTTGAGGCCAATCACCGATACCAATCTTTTTAAAGCCTTCTTTTGATCATGTAGAATTATTCATAGTGATGATCCAATCAAGATTTTTAGAAATTTATTCAGGGCCCGAATTTCATTTTTGAAAATGAATTCCCTTCTTAGGTGACTTTTGTGAGAGGGGAATTTGAGGGGTGGAGGGGGGCATTTTTTAGACATTTTTCAAAAATGTATATTTATCTCACCAAATGTTTGATCATGCACTGCATTTTTGTTTTGACAATCATGCAATTCTTGCAAAATAGTTTACACACAGCACAAGTCTTATTTTGTGAGCTGTATGTGAGGCGGCCTGTGACGAGAGGGGCGGGGCCGAGAGCTGTGGGAATGGACCGAGCATCGTACCACGCAGTGGAAAAGCGCCATTAGTTCTGGAACTAAAGCGGTGCGAAAGGGCCTATTGCCTTGTTTATCTAAAAGTGCTCTTTTCCTTTAAACCTAGCCAAAAAGCCATAGCCTATGTGTTGACTGTGACACATCAGACTTTAATTATATGCATTTATGGTGTAATAACTACATTTTCGTGTCAATCCAGGTTCATATTTACCGCAAACAATGCGCTGTTACTTTAATTCAGCGCTTGCAGCGCAGCAAAACTCTGTGCGGAAACGATCTCTGCACTGCTGCAGACGCACTGCCGGACCGCAACCGTGTGTAGTGTGAACGCTTTAATCTGTTAAGATGAGAGCGCACTGAAAACAGAGTAATGTGAACCTGGCGTTATGTGTGTGCGCTTTCAGTGTGCATGAGCGCACGGTCTCCAGGAGAGCGACCGAGCGCTGAATGGTTTAAACACTGGCAAGAATTATAAAGAAATGCAATTTATAAACTTTAATGATGATGCGACACCGCCTCGATTGTGCAAGTGACAATTCCTGTGTCAACTGTGCAGCTGGCTTATAGTGCAGACGCGATTTGATTTGAAGCCATTTGCGCATTTTGAGAGAGAAAGAGAGAGCGCACGCGGTGTCATGGCATGTCTTTGATTAGGGTTGAAGCAAAACTCTGCAGGGCTGCGGCTCTCCAGGACCGACGTTCGCCACCCCTGCTATAGGCTATGCCTAATATAAAATAACAAATAACACAAAGTTTAAATAGGTATACAAAACTGAAAAGGCAGACACTGTGGAACCAATTAAATAATAATGTTTAAAAAAAACTTACAAAATCACCTTAGATAAACGGCAACATTCAACAGGCTTTTCAAAACCCAAATTATTGCCAAACAGGCGCTTTTGCATTTCGTTTCTAAACTAAATCGTCCACTATCATTATCTTATCAGTCAGCTCACTCACTCTCCTCACGTGATAAATGAAACCTGATCTGTGATGAGACAGTCGTTTGTCAGTCCAAGTTGAAGACCTTTTTTACCCAGGTGAAAAAGTGTACTTGAATGCACTAAAAAATACTTAAATACAAACAAATACATTTGTAGTACATTCTTATTTTTTGTGCTAAATTAAAATTGTAAAAATTATATAAATTGTATAAACGCACCAATTAAAAGTATATTTCTACTTCAGTAGTACTTCAGTGCAATTGCAATAGTATACTAAATACCACTGATATTTAAATAGATTTTGTGCATTAAAATAAAGTATGCTGCCACAAAAAATAGTATTTTTTTAAAAGTGTGCTTTGAATGATTTAAAAAAATATTTCAATGTTAGTACACTTTTATATAGCGTAAGTTTAAATTAAATTGATTTTATTTAAAATATATTAGTGATGTAATAGGTATAAGTACATTTTCCCAACTCTGCTACTAAAGTACACTTATAATATATAAATACATTAAATTAAATAGCACTAACACTTAGGTTTACATTTAGTTAGATAAAGTACCAGAAGTGTTTTATAATTGCATTGCTGAAAAGTCCTACAATCGCTTTAAAGTTTTTGTGGATTTTTTATATATACTACGACTAAGCTTTATTTGGATTTTCATGAAAAACAGTAGAAATGTAATGTAAAGTAAAACCCTATAGGTTACTCTGCTTAGGCTACTATAAATGAACTAATAGCACATGATTGGATTATTCATTCATATTTGTTTAGATGTGTACTAAAATCCACAATTTAACAGTAAGCAGGGCTCCAGACAAAAAAAAAAATAGAGTAATGAGCCATCGGCTCCTTTAAGAAAAAACTTAGGTGCCAAATTATTTTTTAGGTGCCACAGAATAAACACATTTTATTTTTTTTACATTTTGACAGTTCAATCATACTGTCATGTGTTTAGGTCTAATCTTTTCTTGACTTTATCAGCATTTGAATCCATCTTGTAGATGACCTGGGAACTAAACGTCTTTTCCAACTTGAAATGTACAGTCACAAAGAATTGTTTATTACACAGAATCTGTACCAATATCATGGACCATAAGCATCACTTGGCCATTGAGTGTACACTTTTAAGTAATTGGAATTTAATAAATTTAAGTTAGTCCAACTTAAAATAAAAAGTGAACACATTTTCAAACTGTTATTTGTCAGTGTAACTCAGAATTGTCAAGTTCACTTAATGCATTTCTTTAATTATGCCTTAGTTTATTTACTTAATTTTAAGGCAACTGGTTTCCTCAATTTTTTAAAGAAAAGTCAACTGATCACTTTTTACAGTGTTAGTTTGGGCTCCTCCTCAATGCATCCTATAGAAATGTTGTCATATCTCTCACACATCCAGTCTGTTTTTCTTTATTAGTATCATGCAATTTTATAGGACATGTTGAATTTTATCATTAGCTTGCATTCTTTACCATGTAGACAACAGGTTAAGTAAAAATATTAGTATGCAATAGTGAATAAATATAGAAAAATGCTCCTCTTTATAGTTATTTTTCTAGATGACTGCTTATGGATGCCCAATGGTTATTCTGAGGTAAATGTATTGTTACGTGGCATTGTTTACAAGCTTTTCACATTTTCCGCAGTTTGACACAGAATGAGCGATTACATGAGACATTTCAATAAGTTGTACTGTAGGCTCTCTTATAAAATAGCCTAACTTTTGATGTTAATTCACGTTTATTTCGTACTATAGTAGAGAAAGATATAGGTTCACTTGCCGCTTGAACTGAGGCGCTAAAGCGATTGCGCCTGCCACATTAAAGAGCGCCAAAACCGTATTTATTGTATGAATTTCGTTATGAATTTGGCAGAATGTTAAAGCTGATACTTTGTTTATTAAAAAGTAACAACGCACAAAGCTTATTGCGATTACTTGATGGCAAGTGCGCTGCAATCAGGCTAATATGAAGTTCACGCATTAACAGAACACAGCATATAGACCAAGATCTTGATAACAAGAAGCCATATTAGTAATGATTATAAACGAGAATTGTTAACGATATTGCCAATCTCCACACAGCTGACAGCTTTACCTGTTGAAGTTTTTTTTGAAGTTGTGCACGAAATAGACACTGCTTTTCTGCACTTTCACTTTGCACGTCTCCGTCATTTTGATCTCTCTCATGCTGCACAACTGAGCTGCGTTCAGCAGGCATCTCGGCAGAGACGAGGACTGTTTGAAACTCTTATTTTCCACTAAAACTTTGATGCGCATTGTCTCAGTTTAATACGTGAACATAAACATAACAATAGATATGATCGCAAAACAATCAGGAAAAAAAAGTAAGTCATAACATGTAAATATACACTCTAAAAATGCTGGGTTAAATATGGACAAACTCAGCGATTGGGTGGTTTTCAACCAACAGTTAGGTTAAATGTTTAACCCAACATTCTGGGCAGCTCAACCGCTGGGTCAAAAACAACCCAATCGCTGGGTTTGTCCATATTTTGTATTGTCCATGTATTTAACCCAGCCTTTTTTGGTGGCGACCTCAGCAAAAACTTCACTCACAGATTAATATTTTTGGACGCAAATGCGACCGTTTTAGTCGCATAGGCAATACACAGTGAAGTGAAGGGACATGTGGCCAAGTATGGTGACCCATACTTGGAATTAGTGCTCTGCATTTAACCCATCCAAAGTGCACACACACAGCAGTGAACACACACACCGTGAACACACACCCGGAGCAGTGGGCAGCCATTTTTGCTGCGACGCCCGGTGAGCAGTTGGGGGTTCGATGCCTTGCTTAAGGGCACCTCAGTCGTGGTATTGAAGGTGGGAGAGCGCTGTACATTCACTCCCCCCACCTACAATCCC